ACAGCCCGCGCTGTACGCTAAGAACCGACCACGCAGGATACACGATAAGTGCGGAGAGCTTAGCGGCGTGTATACGTAGGCGCATTCCCAAGTACACGCCAAGAATAGGACTATGGCAGTAGTTACAGAGTTCTCCGCCGCGCCCCGAGGAGGCCCGACCAGGACGGGGTCGTGCCCCCCGGGCCCCAGCGGCGCCGATCGCAAAAACCAAACCCTGGCGCAACCACACCCTTTGCAGTATCGCCGAGTGGAGCGTCCAGCTGTGAGGGGTCACGCTAGAGGGGGCGACCGGCTCAGGATGGGGCCAATGGGGGGAGTATTTTGCCTCCTCCTCCTCCTCCTCCTCCTCCTCCTCCTCCTCCTCCTCCTCCTCCTCCTCCTCCTCCTCCTCCTCCTCCTCCTCCTCCTCCTCTCCTCCTCCTCCCTCCTCCTCCTCCTCCTCCTCCTCCTCCTCCTCCTCCTCCTCCTCCTCCTCCTCCTCCCACACGCTTCCTGGGCGTGGGGGGGGGAGAACCAGGCTGGTCCTGGCAATGGACAGGTGCGCCGCGCGTGCCGGGTGCGCCACACGCGCAGGGTGCGCCGGGCGCACCTCGCGCGCTGGCTGCGCCGAGCGTTCGCTCCAAGGGCGCCGCGTGCGCGGGGCGCGCAGGGGAAGGCGCGTCGGGTGCGCCAGGTGCACCCATCGTCATCGGGCAAAATGTTGGATCCTGGCCGTTCTTGCCGAGATCTCTGCAAGGTGACGACGGCAGGAGAGCCCAGGATCGAATCGAGAAGTCGGATCGGCGATCGAGATGTATCGGATCGGCGGAAATCGGCAGCCGAGACGGGAAGGGTCGAATCGAATCGGCGGAAATCGGCAGGCTGGTATGCCTCCAATGAGATATCGGAACCCAAACCGGAATTCTAAATCGATTCGAATCGGAATCGGAAGCAATCGAAGTCGAATCGAATCGAATCGGAGGAGTCGAAACGAGCCCTGCGACGGGGTGGTCAGCACCGCGTACGGTGCATGCACCGTCAGTCACTCTGGCAGCTGCTTTTAGCAAGGACGGAGGGCTGTCGCGCGGCGGACCATGTGCTGCGCCTCTCCCCCATGCCTTCCAAAAACCACTGCAACCTTATGATCGGATGTCGAACATGGCCAAGTGCTTGCCGCAACGTGCAGGTCGCAACGTTTTGACCGGGACCCTGGCCAGCGGCCACTCGAGCGGGGGGGGAAGCTTATGAGCAAGGATCAGCGATGGGGAGAGCAGGAGGAGGCGGGAGGTGAGGGGAGAGTGGGGTACGACGGGGGAGGTGAGGAAGGGAGGGGAGCTTGGTTGGTTGGGTTTGCCCGTTGGAAACAACATGTCGAACCCCAGGATAATCAGGGGCCCCTTCTGCAAAGCCGAGCCGGGCGAGGCCCTACTCCGCGACAGCTGCCGCCAACAGCGACCCACGAGAGAGGGGGCCCGCGGGGTGAGGGGCAAGGGACTGAGGGAGGACGGACGAAGCAAGAGGCAAAGGGGTGGTTCAGTTCAGTTCAGTTCAGCCTGCGTGCCAGCTCCGGCGGAGCGGTCCCCTGAGGGGCAGGCGGGACATAAGTGTACAGCATGCGTGGAAGACTGCGCGCATGGACAGAAGATACACGTGGCAACTGACCAGACCAAACAAGGAGAAGGAGGAGGAGGAGGAGGAGGAGGAGGAGGAGGAGGGGAGGGAGAGAGAGAGAGAGAGGACAAGGCAAAGGGGGGGGGGGGGGCGCAACGGGGGAGCGAGGCGATTGCTCCCTCGACTGGCACCCGGGCGAGGCCACCAGCTCCGCGCCAGCGGGGCACAGCACCGTGCCCGTCTGGATGCCCGAAGCCTGCGCGGGCGCGCTGCCGTCGGTGGCCCAATCGCGCCGGCAGCCCCCGAGACCCGCCAGATTTGGGCGCTCTCCTCCTCCTCCTCCTCCTCCTCCTCCTCCTCCTCCCCTCCTCCTCCTCCTCGTCCTCGTCCTCTCCTCCGTCCTCGTCCTCCTCCTCCTCCTCCTCCTCCTCCTCCTCCTCGTGCTCCTCCTCCTCCTCCTCCTCCTTCTCCTCCTCCTCCTCATTATCCTCCTCCTCCTCCTCCTCCTCCGCCTCCTCCTCATCATCATCATCAGCAGCATCTGCATCAGCATCAGAATTAGCATCAGCATCATCATGATCATCCGCATCAGCATCAGCATCCGCATGGTGATCATCAGCATCACCATCATCAGCATCACCATCATAATCAGCATCATCACCATCATCATCATCATCATCATCATCATCATCATCATCATCATCATCATCTTCTTCTTCATCATCATCATCATCATCATCAGCAGCAGCAGCATCAACATCATCCTCACCATGATCACCATCATCCTCATCATCATCCTCAGCACCATCACCATCATCATCAGCACCATCTGCAGCATCATCATCACCATCATACTCAGCATCATCACCATCATCACCATTTCCATCATCATCATCATCAGCAGCAGCATCAGCATGATCAGCATCGTCATCAGCATCGCCATCATCATCAGCAGCAACATTGTCATCATCATCCTCAGCATCATCATCAGCATCGTCATCATCAGCATCATCAGCATCAACAGCATCATCATCAGCGTCAGCAGCATGATCATCAGCAGCAGCAGCAACGCCACCATCCTCATCGCCATCATCAGCATCATGAGCACCATCACCAGCATCGTCATCATCATCAGCATCAGCATCAGCATCATGACCATCATCATCACCATCATCATCGGCATCATCATTATCAGCATGTTCATCATCATAATCATCATGAGCAGCATCATCATCATCATCACCATCATCATCATCATCATCATCATCAACAACATCATCATCATCATCATCATCATCATCATCATCATCATCGTCATAATCCCCCTTTTCTTTCTCCTTTTCCTTATCATTCCCTCCTCCTCCTCCTCCTTCTCCTGCTGCTGCTGGTCCTCTCCCCCCTCCCCTCCCGCTCCTCTTGCTCCTTCTCCTCCTCCTCTTCTTCGTATTAGTTTGCGTTTTCTGATCATTAGTCTTCTTCCGCGTATTAGTGTGATTGCCCGTATGTTTAGTAGTATCCCTCGCACTTTTCTTCTTCTCATAAGCATTCATAGCATCACTCTTCTTGATAGATGGATTAGGTTTACTCTTCTTCGTGAAATTAGTAGCCCTGGTATTATTAGTATTACGGTCCGCTTTCTTACTCGTATTAGTATGTGTATTAGTAGTAGTAGTAGTAGTAGTAGTAGTAGTAGTAGTAGTAGTAGTAGCTGTTGCTGTTGTTCGCTTCCTCTTCTTCACCCTCTTCCTCCTCCTCCTCCTCCTCCTTCTCCTCCCCCTCCTCCTCCTACTACTCCTCCTCCGCATCTTCCTCCTCCTCCTCCTCCTCCCCTCATCTTCCCTCCTCCCCCTCCTCCCCCTCCTCCTCCTCCTCCTCCTCCTCCTCCTCCTCCTCATCATCATCATCATCATCATCATCAACCTCCTCCTCCTCCTCATCCTCCTCCTCCTCCGCCTCCTCCTCCTCGTCCTCGTCTTCGTCCTCGTCCTCCCTCCTCCTGCTTTCCCTCCTCCTCGTCCTCCTCCTCCTCTTCCTTTTCCTCGTCCTCCTCCGCCTTCCCCTCCTCCTCCTCCCCTTCCTCCTCATCCCCCTCTTATGTTTGGTATTACTACTATTAATGCTGTTCTGCTTAATCGTATCAGTATCCGTTTGACTATCTAGGTTATGACGAGTAGTCGTCGTAGCATTAGTAGTAGTAGAAGTAGGAGTAGTAGTAGTAGTAGCAGCAGTAGTAGTAGTAGTTGTAGTAGTAGTAGTAGTCGTAGTCGTAGTCGTAGTCGTAGTAATAGTAGTAGTAGTAGTAATAATAGTAACAGAAGCAGTGGTAGTAGCAGCAGTAGTAGCAGTAGCAATAGCAGTAGCAGTAGCAGTAGCAGTAGCAGTAATAGCATAAGTAGTAGCAGTAGCAGTCGTAGTAGCAGTAGTAGTAGTAGTAGCAGTCGTAGTAGTAGTAGTAGTAGCAGCAGCAGCAGGAGTAGTAGTAGTAGTAGTAGTAGTAGCAGTAGTAGTAGTAGTACGATTATGAATATTCGTGGCATGAATGTCAGTATTTTTAGTAGTATTGTGATTCTTGGTAGTAATCTGGTGGGACTAAAAAATGTAGGCCCATGTGCCTTTTCTCAGTGGAGTTCCCTCGCGCTGGCGCGGAAGCATTTTCCATGCGTCAAAAAAAAACATGCGGGATACTTAACCCCCTGGAAGAAACAGGGGAGGGGGGGGGGCATCGCAAGTCTCGCGGCGCGCTCGCCTTCATTCGCCGTGGCAAGATAAATGTGCCACCATATTGTCACGACGGTGCTGCATGATCCTTATTAGTCGTGTTCTTCTCATTCTAAGTCGTATGAAAAGTAGTATGAATAGAATTCGCGTTCGTCTTCTTATTATGATTGTTCGTAGTAGTCCTCTTAGCAGTCATCTTATGACTCCTTTTCTTATTCGTAGTCTGTGACTTCTTTTTGCTAGTATGATCAGCGCTGATATTCGCATTACAAGTAGAATTGCTGTTACTAGTTGTATTATCAAAAACAGCATTATGTTGTTACGAGTCATATCTTAGGATTGTAAATGTTGTTGTATGCGTTGTATTAGCATTTGCCTTCTCATTATGGTCATTACTATCGCTATTAATAGACTTAATATTGTTATTAACATTATTAGTCGTCTTCTTATTCTTACTGCTACAAGCCATCTGTTTTAGTGCTATGATTGCTCTTCTTACTGGTACTCGTACTGGTAGTCTTATCCGCATGTTTCTTAGTCGCATTACTCTCATATTATTAATATATTAGGATTCGAAAATTAACGGTTGTCATAATAATCGCATTCGTAAAAGTATGATTATTGATAGTGATGTTTGTCTTCTTCGCCCTCATATTATTACTTGTCTTCATGTTATGATTGCTCATACTGTTCGTCGCATTCTTCGTATTACTGTCAGTATTCTGAGTAGTATTTGCCTTACTACTGGAATTAGTATCCGTCGTACACTTACTACTATTTTCATTGTTCTTACTCATGGTATTAGTCGAACTCTTCTTATTCTTGTACACATTGTCATTCTCACTCGAAGTACGCTTAGTAGTATTATTACAATGGTTGTTCTGCTGCTGTGTATTACAACTGCTGTTATGTATATAATTCCTCCTCCTCCTCCTCCTCTTCCTCCTCTTCTTCCTCCTCCTCCTCCTCTCCCCCTCCTCCTCCTCCTCCTCCTCCCCCTCCACCTCCTCCTCCTCCTGTTCCTCCTCCTCCTCCTCTTCCTCCTCCTCCTCCGCCGTCTCCTCCTCCTCCTCCTCGTCCTCCTTCTCCTCCTCCTCCTCCTCCTCCTCCTCCTCCTCCTCCTCCTCCTCCTCCTCCTCTTTCTCCTCCTCCTCCGGCGGGCCGTTCGGGACGATCTGGACACCCCCCGAACGCCCTCGGCGAGGCGCAGCCGCTGAAGGCATCCCGAAGCTGGAAGCCCGCCCAGAACATTCGAAAACGCCGGAAAACCTCGGCCTCGAAAACCTGAGCCCATGCCCCCCTTCTGCGTCCCGAGAAGAAGAATCCCATCACCCTGCACCTCGTCCTTCCTCCCGCCTCTCCTTTTCTCTTCCTCTCTATCCCGTCCCACGGGGGGGGCGAACCCCGAGGAGCCACAACGACATGCACGCGCCCGCTCGGCCGCCTGGGCGGCGCCCTGGGCCCGCCTGCCTCCCTGACCCCCTCCACGAACGAGACGCCGCCGCCCGCCACGGGCGGCCGCCCACCGGACAGAGCAGATCAGCCGCCTTGCCCGCGTGGCCCCCGGTCCTCCCTCCCGCCTTACGTACCCATCCACGAACCTCCCGTCCTCCTCCTCCTCCTCCTCCTCCTCCTCCTCCTCCTCCTCCTCCTCTTCCTCCTCCTCCTGCTCCTCCTCCTCCTCTTGTTCCTCCTCCTCCTCCTGCTCCTCCTCCTCCCCTTCCTCCCCCTCCCCCTTCCCCTCCCCCCTTCCCCCTCACCTCCCCCTCATTGCCTGCGTGGCCACCTCGTCCTGCACGAACTCCCACACCATCCCGCCGAGCGCGAGCACCCCGTGCGCCGTGCCGGCCAGCACGGACAGGAGCACCTGGGCAGCGGCCCTCGGCCACCACCCCCCAGGGAGACAGAGGAGGAGGGCGGAGGAGAGCGCCCTGTTGGTTTTCGGCGCCCCTTTGATGTCCGGCGCCCCTTTGACTCTCGCAGCCATGTTGCTCTTCCGCGCGCCTTGGGCTTTCGGCGCCCGCTTGGTTTTCGCCGCCCATTTGGTTTCGGCACCCTTTTGGTTCCGACGCCATTTTGGGTTTCGGCGCATCTTTGGTTTTATGCGCCATTTGGTTTCGGGCGCCCATTTGGTTTCGGCGCCCTTTTGGTTTTCGGCGCCCGTTTGGTTTCCGGCGCCCATTCGGTTTCGGCGCCCTTTTGGTTTCCGACGCCATTTTGGGTTTCGGCGCATCTTTGGTTTTCGGCAAACCTTTGGTTTCTGGCGCCCAGTTGGTTTCGGCGCCCTTGTGGTTTCCGGCGCCATTTTGGTATTCGGCGCATCTTTGATTTAAGGCGCCCCTTTGGTTTCCGGCGCCTTTTCGATTTTCGGCTCCATCTTGGTTTTCGGCGCGCCCTTGGTTTTCGGCGCCCGTTTGGTTTTCGGCGCCAGTCTGGTTTTCGGCGTCAGTCTGGTTTTCGGCGCCAATCTGGTTTTCGGCGCATCTGTGGTTTTCGACGCAAACAGGATGACAAAGGACAAAGAGGAGAAGGATGGGTGGCCAATAAGCGTAATCGTTATGTTGGTAACAAGCATGATTCAACGAACTAATCAAAACAACAAACCACCACGCGCAATATGCTTCTGCCTTCTTAAACACAACCTCAAAGCGTCGCGACACGTTCACTCTCCAATGGCGCCTCCACTGCCCGTCCGACAAGACTTGCCCATTGAGGGTCCGGCCCACGCTTTGACGCCCGCCGACGTCGCAACCGCCCTCATCGTCGACGACGGCAAACGGAGGAGGGACAGCGGAGAAGTGGCTCGAGCATGAAATCTCCAGGAATGACGAGGGACGACAGGGCATGGAGAGGGGGGAGGGCGATTCGCCAACCCGAATGCTGCCCAAGTGGAGCAGTTGGAGAAACATAGCCGGTAATGGGGAGGGGGGGGCGGAGAGGAGGATGCTGGATTTGGCGACTGGTCTACTCATGTAGTTCACTTCACTTTAGTCACTCACGCCACTGCCTCCGCTGCCCAAAGGACCCCCCCGTACTAACCTCCTGTCTGAAGCGAGCGCCGACAACGCGGGGGGTGGCAGCAGCGGCAGGGTCGCAAGCCTCTGACGCGAGCAGCGGCGGCCACCCCGCGTCCACGCCGACAGACAAGATGCCCGCCAGCTCGCTCGCATCACGGCTCGAAGAGAGCCGAACAGACAGGGCAGTTTTCAATACATAGGATTTTAAAATATAGGATTTCTAATACATGCTTTATTAATGAATAAATGTATGCATGAACTCATCGTTGTTTTTTATACTACATCCCTGCATTGTAATACATGATCCGCACGCGGAGCATGTATTAAAAACGGCACTGTACTCATCGAACACCTCCGAGGAGGCCCCGACCTCGGCTGGTCCAGGCAGCCCCTCACACGCAGCCCGAGCCCTGGCCTCGGGGAAAGCTGAATCAAGGCGGCGCGGACAGCCACGGGCGAGTCGCGATGCGACGGAAAAACAACCCTGCCCGAACGCACTTTCAGTTCCGACCCCTCTTTTTTCAGCAGGGGGCAGCACGCTCCACGGAGCCCTCGACCATCAGCACCCCATGAAACACGGCAGTCCGCACATGCTCCTTCCGGCAACGGAGCGACCCTCATCCAAACGAACCGAACCAAACCAGGTTACGCTCGAAATCGCCCGACCCCCCCACCACCACCCCCACCCCCCACGCAACTGCAACCCCTGGGCGCGCCGGCGCAGCACTGCACGCGCCCCCACCCGCCAACGAGCGGAACGAAAACACGCGGGCTCTCGGCGAGAAGCTCACCAAACTTCAGCGGCCGGCGGGCGGCGCGAACAGCCCGCGGCGCCCGAATCCCCCCCCAAGGTCCGACCTCGAGCGCCAGCAGCAGGGCCCGCCCAGCAAGATGCCCGACCAGCGCCGCCGCCGCGCCCCGAGGAGGAGGAGGAGGAGGAGGAGGAGGAGGAGGAGGAGGAGGAGGAGGAGGAGGAGGGCGCGCACCAACCCTGGGCCCACTAGGCCGCGATCCCCGCCCAGACGTCGGCACCAGCATAAAAACCTGGCACAAAAGCACCTCGAACTCACACTTCGCCAACTGCACGCCGCCCTTCCTGCGGGCGGGGGGCCACGGCAGAAAGACCTGGCCGAGGCCGCGGCGCCACAAGGCGCGCGCGCGATGCGCACCCGCAGGCCCCCGTTCTGGCCCCGAGGGGCCTTAGCGCGGTCAGCGTGACAATCGGGAACAAGACCCACGCGGTCGGCAAGGCAAATCGGCCCTACAGAGTGCTCCAAGGATAGACGGAAAGCTTGCAACTCCGCACGTGGCACCGTCTGGCGCCTGCCCACGAAGACCCGGGCAACTCCGCGGCACGGGGCCCGGAGTCGCGACGACGCAAGGTTCTGACACATCACCGAGAGCGCCGAGCATGTGCCCCCAACGAGCCCCGGGCCCAGGGGGCCCCCCTCGGCCACCTCGCGGGCCCCGACAACCGTGGGCACAGTGAAGACCTCCGAGGGAACTCCTCGGAGCCAGAGCCCCGGCCGCGCCTCCAGAGGCGCCGTCGCCCGGGGTGCCGCAAAAGCGGCGACCGGGAAATTCCCGCGCCCACAGCTCGCCTCGCATGTCCAGGCCCCCCGGCCGGGGGCCCGCGGGCGCCCCCTGCATCGGGGGCAGGGCCTGCCGGGCCGGCAGCTACCTGCCGACCCCTCGCCCACCGGCGGCCACCTGACACGACTGCGAGAGCACACGACCGCGAATCGGACTGACCTCATCTCGCGGAGCGGTCCAGCTCCACACTTCTCACACACACATCTGCGCCGGGCTCCACGCCCTCACCTGCGACGCGCCGCGATGCCGACCCCCACAGCAGCGACGAGCAGTCACAGCTGAACGCGCCCGACATGCCCTCGAAATGCGCGGGCGCTGTCGCGTCAGACTGATCGTCGCGAAGACAAGGCTAGAGCCACTCGTCTCCCGTGCCGTCATCACGCGGCCTCGACCATCTGCGCGGAAGACGCGGGCCCCAACTTGCCTGGATGAAGGCCGCCTGCAACGCCGCTACCGGGCCACGCACATCAGCCCGAGTGGCTGCCGCACCTCCGTTGATCCTCGCGAGCCCGCGAGCACGATCGGGCAAGCCTTGTCAACGCCGGGGCGGAGGGACGGCTGCGACAACGAAAACGATATCCATTCCTTGATCAGCTGGTTCCTCAAGCTGGCGCCGGGCACAGACGCGCCGCGCGCCGCCCGTAGGGCGGAGGCCAGGCGGCGTCCGCGCTTCGAGCCAGCGACGCTCGCAGCAGCATCCGCTCGCATGGCCAGCAAGGTACTCTTCGGTGTTCCCATAATCTTAAGTCGGGCATGTCCCCCTAGAAGCGGTTTTTGGACGAAAAAATAAGGATACCAAAAAAACACAACAAAAATAATCAAAAAGCATCAAAAAATCTTCCCCAAGACTATTTTCTACCATATTTGAATGTTCCTCCTATGAAGGGACACGCCCAACATAGCCATAACCTGGTGGCCGAACTCGGCAACAGGATAGACCCCTGTTCCACAATTGCTGCGTGCTGACAGGACTCTGGCCCGAGTTTCAAGTCCTCATAACTCCACGCCGCAGTCGATGCGCTCGAGCTCTTCCCTTGATCAACTTTGTGCACGCACAGACGCCGTCTGCCAGCAGGCGCACCTGAACCCAACACAGACGTCGCCTTCACGAACTTCTCCAGCACGGCGTTGGCAACGAGGCGCGCCTGCAATTCAGCTCCGATCTTGTCCGCGCTCGCCACCAACGTTGTCTTGGCAGAGACGTTGAGCCTGAGCTTCCTCAGCCCCGCCGCCATCAGGTCTGCCGTCGTTTCCATCTAATATACGCCTGTCTGTCCAGAGCCCTCAGCCCTGCCATCGATGTGGCCGATGTAGCTCTAGAGCCCAGCGGGAGGCCAGGACCTGCGGACTGCATCCAACAACTCAAGTAACATTACCGTAGCCAAAAGATCAAAATGCCCTGATTCCACGATGGCGGATCTGGTGACAACAACGCTGTCCGAGATCTCTTCGCCCCTTGTTGAGCAACCTCGATGCGGCATACATACCAATCTCAAACAGCAACACGAACGAGGGGCATCCGATGTTGATGGTCGCCTCCATCAACAGCACCAAGCCCACGCGGTCGTAGAATTGAGATCCACAAGCGAAGTCGCGGACTCGAACCCCAATGTCGTCGATCATTCACCCATGACTGCCCTGACCACTGCCGCCCGAAAGGCGGACGACTCTGCGGTCGCCGTATCCTAGACTGCAGACAGCTAGGAAGACCAACGCGACGTCGTCCTCGTCCGCATCTTGTTCCCCACCTTCTGTGGCACTGGCACAAGACCTAAGACCCTGCGCCCTCCAGCCTCCTTAGGTATGGCGGCGCCCAAATCTGTACTGATGGAGAAAAGCCAAATTCCACCCTGCTCAACCATATCCAACTGATTCAGGAACAATTCGCGGGCAAACTGAGGCTGACGCTGAATATCCGTCGGCCCCATCCCGTCAACCCCGCGAGTTTTCTTGGACGGGATCCTGGGTAGTGAAGCGTCGAAGTCCAGCTGGGTGATCGGTTGAAGCGGATCCTCACGAGCAGCGAGGAGGCACTTGCGCATCGTGCCTAGGATGTCCTGAAGTCCAGCCACTGGGTCTCGCCACATGTCCGACCACTCCTGAATCATACCCCGCAACACGGCCTAACCGTCGGTGGAAATCGAGCCAGCAGCGCCTGGCCCTTCCCAACTCAGCAGCGCCCTGGAAATAGCTCAATCAGCTCATCTGCGCGTAGCCTCCACGGTGTCCGTCAAGTCAGACAGCGCCGCGGCCTGCT